TATTTTTAAAATGTGTATAGGTAGTATTTATAAAGTTTTAGCTTTTAGTTTTGGATCTGTTTTTAGTTGTTTTAATACTACGATTGATTGCTTCTGTTGTCCTCATTTGTAAGTCGCTTTGGATAAAAGCATCTGCTAACTGACTAAATAAATCAAATAAATTAATAAAAGTATGTGGTATAGTATACATATTAGTACCTTGTAAATGGGTACCACCTTAACTAAACTAAAACTACAAACATTAAAAAATATATTTTAATTAAAATAAATGTTAATTAAAATAAAATAACATATTTCAAATGTTCAATAAAACACATTTCTCATTTTCATTTAGTGATGTACTAAAGTAATTCAAACTAAAACTGAAATAAAAATGAATAAAAACTATATACATATTTGAATAAAAAATCAGTAACTAATTAAACTGACAAAAACACGCAAACATTACTAAAACTTAAAATGAAAATGGAAAATACTAAATTAAAAACTTAATATTTAAAAACAGAATAACACTGATGAAGACATTGTGTATTGTTATGTATTCATGTACACTGAAAAACATTGGTGTAGAAATATTTTCACTCAGAAATTGCTAGTAAATTCACAAATAATTACAAAGAAATGCAAGTAACATATTAAATTAGAAATTTTGAAATAGAAAGACTGAAATTGTATTTTCTTGCTAAACTTATTCCAATAATCTTTATTTACGTTCATATAAAATCTTTTTTTACTGTGTACTGTGTCCAGAAATGTTGTTTTTACTTGTATATTGTAATCAAAATCAAGTATAATTTGAATAAAAGTATTATTTGGATTTCTAAAATTGTTTTATCATTTAATTAAATGTATAATTTGTAATGTGTCACTTAATTCAATCATTGCATTAATAAGTCCCTGTGTGTTTCTCTTTGCACTCTCTTTAGTCATCATAAAGCAAAATATGAATAAGGACAACACCGCAACTGTCCTTGCCCTCCTCTTCATTTGGATCATACTTGTTCTGGCTCTGCTGTACTTTTATAAAAAACTTAATGCAGACACAAATGGACAGTACACCGTCCAGCGCATGGTCTTCGCCCCTGGCGGCCTACGGGATCGATTGAGACAAGGAGTCGGGGTTGTGGAAAACAGACTTGGTGTCCACATTTGGCCTCAGCGGCATGATGACGAGGAGAACATAGGAGATAATGACGAAGAGGACAAGGAGGGTGAAGGTCGTGACAAACAGAATGACAGTTACACGGAGGAGGGGGAACAACAGGAGCATGATGACGACAGGGATGATTCTTCAGATGACTATTCCAGCGTTGACCTGAGGGAGAGGGCAAAGATGCAGATGGAAGAGAAAGAAGAGAAGGAGGAGGCAGCAGCGGGAGAAGAGGATAAAAGTCAAGAAGTGAAGAATGAAGAGAAAGTGGAATTGATTGTAGATCTGACGCCGTTTACTGGTAGTGCAATTTGGTCTAAGGAAAACAAAGATGGAAATGACTTGACTGCTTTATGAAAAGCTCAGAGACATTGCCTTTGAATTTAATAGGCGGGAAATAAAGTGGCTTGGCTCAGTGGGTGGCACCAAACATTTTTTAGAACTTTGAGTCAGTTTAACCCTGTAAAGCCTGAAAAATCTGTTTTTTCTTTTAACTAACAGTTTATTGTCATCAGTGTTGGGGAGTAACCAGTTACATGTAACGGAATTACGTAATTTAATTGCAAAATAAAAGTCATTGTAATCAGTTACTGAGAAAAAATGTATAATTAAATTACAGTTACTTATGAAAATGTTAAGGATTACAAAGGGGGTTACGTCTGCTTTTTTTCACACACACTCCCACATACAGATTTAATTGATTTCTTTCATAAATTGCAGTGACTGCTCTAAAATATGAAACTCCAATGTTTCAGGAGTTTAGAACACGCTTATTCGATAACTCTTTTATTTCCTATATGGGTTTATGCATAGCTATGCTTCATTTTTTAAAGATGAACTGTTTTTTTCCAAGGCATTGTTAGATTCCAGTGTTTACTGTCATAGCTATGTAAAGATTTGATTTCAAAAACAGTATCATAGCTAATAAAATAGTTCTTGTTATGATTTTAAATATGTATTTAACCTCAGAATGATCTCAAAGTAACTCTGACTCAAAGGGGGCATTGATCTTCCACAAGTTGGTATGATTCTTTAGGGTCTTCATGAACTTCGGTTAAAATTCCTCAGTGGTCGTGTAAAACAACACCCTTTTTAACTTGCTCTGTTCACAGCGACTCTTTTTGGGGCATGTCCCTTTAAATGCTAATGAGTGAAAAGGGAGTGAATGGATTTTTATCATTGTAGGGTGGTTGTGTCCACACACTGCTAAGATACATTTATATACAAACACCATGTAAAAGTGAATTTAGCATCCAATGTCTACTTTAAAATTGAAATACAATCTTAAGTCAAGTGATAAAGAATTTCGAAAGTGTGACAGTAATCAGTGTTGAGTACTACTGTAAGGTTTACCCTGCCTGGTTTACATGTTTAAAAATGATAAACAGTTGAAGACATAAACAATTTAGAAAAGTAATCAAACGTAATCAGTTACATTACTTTAATAAAGTAATTGAAAAGTTACACTACTTATTACATTTTAAGTAGGGTACCTTGTAATCTGTAACCTATTACATTTCCAAAGTAACCTTCCCAACACTGATTGTCATTGACATACCATTAAAACAAATGTTAAAAAAGGTTTTCATATGTGTTTGGGCTGAAAATCAATGATATATTCATAAGAATATATTAGACTTACATAGAATGCATGTAAACATCTGTTTTCACTCTAAATCTTCCAATAATATGTCATAGTAAGATAGTATTTGAATGCTTAGTTTTATGTGCCAAGCTGTAGTTTTCTATTTTGGGGGCAAAACATATAATGCAATGCTATACAATGATGATTGAGAGATGGATAAATAAATGTTCCTATCATATTTGATATTCACATTTAGTAAGTTTTCATCTTGAAATATTACTAACAATGCAAATTATTCTTACATTTACTTTATAAATATCAGTAAGGATTTCGAAGCAAAAAGGCACGGTCTGAAGGGGGATGTTTTATACAATTATACTAAAGGACATTTACTTGCTAAAAAAATTGGACAACAGAAGGCCTGTAGTAGATTGTACACAACATAGTTTTTCAGGGAAAAAAATTGGATCATGTTGATACTTTTGAAGCCTCAGAAAGTTGTGTATAAAATATGAAACAGTAGGCTTTATAGGGTTAACTTTAAAAGTCAGTAAAACGGTTCCACACCATTTTCCGTAAGTTGTTAGTTTTATGCCCTTCCTGTTGGGTTTTTTTTTTCTGCAAATGCTGACTGTGTGAAAATACATTTTGAAACTTGTTCACATTTTTAAGAGGCGTAAATATTTTTCCACTAAAAATATTTTCATGTCAAAGGGGCTGTCAAAATTGTCAAGTGTTTTCATATGGCCTCACTGATGGTCAGTCTCACAAAACCCATCAAGAACATGTGTAGAGCATATCAAATCATGAGAAATAATATTTTGTTTAAAGAAAATTAAGCCAAGGTCACAAATGTGACCTGGACGTAACATTTGCCCTGATGAAACATTAGGGCATCGAACCACCAACCATTTTGAGGCTACAAACCATGAACCACATCTCTTATCATAGTTGGTTATCAACAGGGTTTCATGGCTTAGGCCAAGATTATGATGATGATGCATATTTGCTAACTAAGACAATGTTTTTTTAAAGGTTTTTAAAGTCAAATAAATACAGATGATACTAAATTATGCCATTTTAAAGTCTAAAGTACAATCACAGACACACAGTCCTGGGGATATTGCTTTAGTAATTAAAGGGTCATATGATGTTGCTAAAAAGAACATTATTTTGTGTATTTGTCTTTACTTTCACGAAGACAATAGATGGCACTTGAAACACAGAACACTAATACTAAAACCACTTTGATTTCATACTATGCGATGACAATCGCTGATTTTATATCTGTAGAAAACCATCGATTGCGCGTACGTTTGTGAAGATTTTGGGAGGAGATACTTGAGTCAGAAGTTGCACTCTTACGCAGACCATTGGTCGGTTGAACGCCAGTGGGCGTCGAAATCGCCACGCCCTTTACTTTCACGAAGACAATAGATGGCACTTGAAACACAGAACACTAATACTAAAACCACTTTGATTTCATACTATGCGATGACAATCGCTGATTTTATATCTGTAGAAAACCATCGATTGCGCGTACGTTTGTGAAGATTTTGGGAGGAGATACTTGAGTCAGAAGTTGCACTCCTACGCAGACCATTGGTCGGTTGAACGCCAGTGGGCGTCGAAATCGCCACGCCATTGGTTAGTTTAGCCCCCAGTGGGCGTGGCCACAGACGCACGCAAGCAATGAAGAATCCTGCACATTTGCATTCTTTCTCTCCAAGGTGGATCAATTAATAAGTCCCTACTTCTGAAATGTTGCATAACGTTTACTTCCGATTAGAAATAGCAGATAAAAAAAAGAAATCTGTGTATCTTCGGATGTGCTGTAACATTTGTATGTTATTTTTATATGTACTGTGTAAATTAATTGTAATAATTTAGTCATATACATTTTTTTATTTTTATTTCATAAATAATTATCATTTCTAACTAACAAAATTATTAATAATTATTATACATATTTTTTTAAAACAACAACTATAAATCTTCCGTTCATCTTCAGAACACAAATGAAAAATTTTAGCTCCGAAATTGCTAGTAAATTTCACAAATAATTACAAACAAAAGACAAGTAACTTGTTGAATTAAACATGAAACTCAGAAGTGGGAAGACTAAAAGACATTTTATTTACAGCTTCAAAAATCATTGTGTATAAACACTGCTTAATGGACATACATAGAGATCATAATTAAAATATAAACCTTAAATTACAATATAATCTCATAATAAAATATATCTTGATTTGGGTTCCGAAGATGAGCAGTAGTCAAAAAAAGGGTTTGTAAATGTTGACAGAATTTTAATTTTTAGGTGAACTATTCCTTTAACTTCCTGTCCAAATCCCTGTTTTAAGGAAATACATTAACACAGGAATAGAATCTGTACTTGTCAAACAATTTTGTACAATGCCAGAAGTTTTGTTGAAGGTGCCATAGAATGGAAAACTGTATTTACCTTGGCATAGTTGAATAATAACAGTTCTGTACATGGAAATGACATACCGTGAGCCTCAAACACCATTGTTACCTCCTTATGTAAATCTTGTGCATGCAAAAGACCACTGAAAAATAGGTGAATCAGAACATAACACCGACTGTGACATTACAGTCGGGTTCACTAATAGTTACGCCCCCAACATTTGCATATACCCGCCCATGTTCCATGCCAGCCGCCAGCCGAACCTGCACAGGCGATTCATCAGAAGTTCTGCAGGTATTGTGAAGAAACAAGCGAGGATAATAGCGAAAATGGCAGATCATGGAAATAAATGTTATGTTCCAGGCTGTGCAGGGATGGGTTGGTGTCTGTATTCTGAAAGGCATGGAAAACAAATAACGCTCGTTCTAATAAAATAACGTGAGCCACTAAAGGGACATGGTTAGCTGCTTGCTAGCGGTAGCCTTTTACAGTACATAATATTTCACTTACCACATACACAGAGCAAGGAGACATGACTGAGGATGATGGCGAATGATTTACAGATCCTGAGCACTACTGACAAGCATCTGATCTTGTAAAATGTGTGTTAAGTAGGCTACTGCCGCTGTAGTTTACACAGAGCATGTGCGAGAGCACCACTGGCAAGCATCTGATCTTGTAAAAGGTGTGGTAAGTACTGCCGCTGTAGTTTACACAGAGCACATGCGATCGCAAATCTCTAAAGTGAAAATAAAAAGCGATCGTGCATTCGAAAGCAGTTTCAATGCCCTGCATATTAATAGCGGCTCCCTGATGCCCGCATTTTATATACAGTTTAATTACCCAATGATATAACTGCGAGAGAAAGTATTGAAATATATCAATACTTAGTGTTTCCTTCCTGCTGTGTGAGCTACTGAAATGAGCCGCACTGTGAAACAGCCAATCAGAGCAGAGCTCAACATTATTATTCATGACCCTTCCAAATAAGGTAAAAACAGACCATTTCATTCTAGGAACAAATCCTCGGGTTGTAAATGGACATGTAAAACCATTTCTGGAGATTTTTTGCCCTTACCTAAGCCACATACCTTCTATGTAGATATCAGAGAACAATTTAAAATATCAATGCATTCTATGGCACCTTTAAGCTAACATCTCTGCTCTTCCTTACAGGTACACTAAGACCCGTGCGGCGAAGTTTCTATGACCCGCGGTCGGCTCCGGGTCAGGGTTGGGTGTGGGAATGGGAGAACGACTCGGGCTCATGGACGCCGTATGACACAGCGGTGAGCATCGCCATCCAGGCGGCTCGGGACAGGCAGCAGCCCTGGCTGGACTTAACGCCACTGGGCTTCTGCTACCTTATAGACCTGCAGACTATGACGCAGATCAACGGACAGACGCAGCGGCGCCGACGCATCCAGAGGCGCTCAGATCTGGCCTACCCGCTTGTTTCTGGCCCGCTGCCTAAACCGCACGCGTGGTCATCCGCTGGAAGTGGTGGACTCTTGGGGGTGGGCGTATCGGGGGTTAGCGGAGGGAATGGCAGTGCCTATCCCAGCGGCGCTCTCCCAGCTTCTGCTATTACTTCACTGGGTCAACCATGTTCCTGCCAGCAGTGTATGCTAGTCTTAGGTGTCAAGACCCCTAGCATGGCACAAACTCTCGGGCGGAAGCCCCCACCCGTACCCAAGCCACCGAGCCCAAAAGCACCATCAAGAGGACACTCTTACTCGCTTACCCTGCCTCACCCTCCTTCCCTTTCCCGAGTCCTCTCGCCACATAGGAACTCCACCTCAGGTGCTAGTGGGGGCTTCGGACACTCCCTCTCCCTGCTGGGCTCAGCCACTGCCGCCCTGTCAATATCCTCCAACCGTCCTCCTCCACCTGCTGTACCACCACCCCTGCCTCCTTCAAACACACCCCACACGACCTCCTCGCTCAACCCTACAGTACTTACACCCTCCAATGCCCTTATATCTACGGCAACCACCTGCGCTCCCACGCCCTCTGCTCGTGTTCTGGGTCCCGTGTCGACGGCATCAGCAGCTTGTGCCGCCCCGGTGCCGCCTCGCAGCAGTCTGGCTGGCCTAAGCCGTCCTGCCCTGCAGAGAATCGCCATGGCACAGTCACGGGCGCTCATTGCATCAGGGTAAGTCATCATGACTGGAGCTGTCTGTGATTGTAATGAAATGATACTCTGTTTTTCTAGGGATTACGGTCACGTCTAGATGGTAACCCTAACTTTAACCATGACAGCTGCAACTGTGAATCTCATAAGCATTTCACAGAATGAAGTTTACTATTTTCCAATGATGTACACTAACCTTCAAAAGTCAGGGGTGAGCAAGATTTTTTTCTTTTACTAAGCAAGGACTCATCAAATTGATCAAAAATTACTATTTTAAAGATTTAAAGATTACTATTTTAAACAAATGTTGCTCTTTTGAACTTTCTATTTATCAAATAGTGAAAAAAATATTAAGCAGCACAACTGTTTTCATCATTGATAATAAGAAGAAATATCTCTTGAGCAGCAAATCAGCATATTAGAATGATTTCTGAAGGATCATGTGACACTGAAGACCGGAGTAATGGCTGCTTGATTTCAACCTCTTCCACCTCAAATGTCAGAACCTTGAATATTTACAGAAAGTCTGTCACTCTAGGATGTGTGTACACACAGAGATGGCAAGCTCAGAATTATTGCTCTTTACACAACACATTTTTCATTTGGGAACAGACTAAAACTGCTGTAACAAACATGACATTCGAGAACTGGAATCCAGTACATCCCATGTATTGACTTTTTGTGGCTATAAAGGGTTAGATTACTAGTTGATTTGTTTTCTTTGTATGTGGGCCTGTGCTGTGATGTGAAATGGTTTCACTTCTGCAATAGTTTATTTTTGAAGAAAAGGAACTTGTTTCAAGAATACTTGAAATGTTGACACATTTAGGCCTGTTAAAGGGGCCATATGATGCGATTTCAATTTTTCCTTTCTCTTTAGAGTGTTACAAGCTGTTCGTGAATAGATAAGATCCCTAAAGTTGCAAAGACTAAAGTCTCAAACCCAAAGAGATATTCTTTATAAAGTTAAGACTGGTCCACACCCTCCTAAAACACCTCGTTCTAACACGCCCCCACATGTCTATGTCACGATGTGGGAAGATTTACATTTAGTCATTTAGCAGACGCTTTTATCCAAAGCAATCAAAATCAACAAAAGAGCAATGATATACAAGTGCTATAACAACTATTACATAACACCGTCCAAAATGTTCACGCAAAGAAAGAAGGCATAACTTTATTGTTGCTGCCACCGCCGCCGCCATGTTGTGAAGACGCTGTGTGTTTTGTTGCGAAAGCGAAAATACTTTGTTTGGCCTTCCAAAAGAGGACACGACTAGAAATCAGTGGTTAAGTTGTATTTACAACACTGTTCCAGAACAGTTCAACCCAAATATTCCGATGTGTCCAGCGCATTTTATGGAGGACTATTTCCTGATCCTGGGAGAGTAGGCTACAATGCCGGCTGTTCTGACTCACAGACTGTAAGTAAGTTTTCATATTTAAAGAATTTGCCACTGATGATTCAAACGTGAGTTTTGAGTAGTGTAGAGTAGAGTTTGTTGTTCGTCATTTCTCCGATCACAAATGCAGACATGGTTTTATGTTCACGCGGCGCGAAAGTCATTATAATCCATAATTATGTCCCCACTGGATGCAACAAATGCCTCGTTTATAATGGGTTTTATTGGTTTTGTCTCATCACGCCGGGACACAGCATCACAGTATGTGAGGGGCGTAACATTTCCGTCACACGCTTGAGGTATTCAGCCAATCACAATGCACTGGATAGCTGGCCAATCAGAGCACACCTCGCTTTTCAGACCGATGAGCTTTGTAAAAATTTAAGCGTTTCAGAAAGGCGGGGCATAGAGGAGAAACAATAATGTACAGTATGTGGAAAATAATGTTTTTTTTAACCTTAAACCGCATAAATACATTTCATTACACCAGTATTATTTAGCACTGCTGGCCTGCAGTGTTTCAAGGCTGTTTTTTTCTTAATGCTTGGTCAGAACCTGAATCTGAACTTACCCTGTGTCCGCTCTCTTTTCACATTTTACTTTTGGGTTCGGACCTCGGTACTCAGTACGCCAGAATTCTCCCACTTCCTGCTTGAAATGAAACACTGGAACGGCGCTCAAGGTTGAACATCTAACTTTTGACATCAGAGCAGATCAATCAATCCTAACTTTAGTTTGAAATGTCATTTGACATCATTTCCAGGCAACTAAAGCCTAAAGCGGTGTTTCATCCATTATTTTCAAGTGGATGTGAAAGTGGGAGAATTCGGGATTAGAATGCAGCACAACGGGAACAGTTTGTAGTCGGAAATGAGGAATTTAAACTTGAATTTTCCCACCTCTGACTTCGTCTGGAACAGGGTAAAAGTGTTGAGGATCATAATATAATATAAAATATAATAGAATATAATAATTGTACAAATATTATATTATGTTATCAGTAATATTTTGTTTATAATATGTTTTTGAAAGTAATCTCTTGTGCTCACCAAGGCGGCATTTATTTGATCAAAGATACAGTAAAACAGTAATATTGTAAAATATGATTACATTTAAAAACATTTAATTATATATAACTATTATATATAATTTTTTTTTTTAAATATAATGTATTCCTGTGACGCAAAGCTGAATTTTCCACAGTCATTACACCAGTTTTCAGTGTCACAAGATCCTTCAGAAACCATTCTAATATGCTGATTTGATGCTTTAACATTACTTATTATTTTACTTAATATTTTTGTGGAAACTATGATACAGTTTTTTCAAGGATTCTTTGAAGAATAGAAAGTTTGAAAGAACAGAATGCTTTATTCCAAAGCAACTTGATGAAACAAATGAGGATTACAACAAGCAGTTCATAAAGAGAGAAATATTTGAAATGTAAATTTTTTGTAACATTATAAATGTCTTCGCTGTCACTTTTGATCAATTTAATGTCCTTGCTGAAAGAAAAAAAAAAATCCTGCCAACCCCAAACTTTTGAACGATAATGTATGTCACATTATATACCATCACTTGAAAAGCTGTGTGGTCTGTGGGTTCCATGTGAGAAGGCAAGAGAATAATTAATGAAAGGAAGCTTTCTAGACGTGGCTGGTCGATGGGAGTCCACCATGAGTGTCAACAGGTCAGTCTCGTTCATTACAGTCCCCCTCCTCTTTTCTGTCTTGTTCTCCCTGTTCCCCGTTCCCAGGCTCCGTTCATTCCTGGGGGCCCCTTTAGCTCCATTGTGCGAGTGTTTTGGAGAGGGTGTATGTGCGCTGAGTGTGTATCCAAGGCAACCTTTGTTGGCAGTCGGCAGCTTGGGTTTTGTATTTGCAACACAATGCGTTTGAAGGGGGGGGGGGTGTCGAGAAGATTCGGTAGTTTGTGTGAAGGAGGTTTGGGAATAGTTGCTTGATTGAACAAGTGTTTGTTTTGAGTGTGTGTGTGTGTGTGTGAGACTCAGGCGCTCTGTCCTATAGACACAAACGTCTGTCTCAGACTCTGGAGGAGCGCCGATTTAAGTATATGCGTAGTGGCATATGACTGGGATGAGGAATGAGCCATGAAAAGTGAAGTGAGCCGACAAACAACATATTCAGGCATGCTCTGGCATACTGATAAGTCACAGGATGAGGTTTAGATTTTTACAAGCATGCTGAATCATAAATATATGTAATTTATTCCTATTTATATATATAAATAGGAATAAATTACATTTTAAAATGAGTTAAAATAGAAAACAGCTATTTTAAATTGTAATAATATTTAGCAATATTAGTGTTTTTACTGTATTTTTGATCTTATAAATGCAGCCTTGGTGAAGAGACTTCACCAAGAGACTTTTCAAAAACATAAAAAAAAAATCTTACCAACCCCAAACTTTTTGAACAGTATTGTACTACAGTATTTGGATCCAAATGTCTGACTACACGGAACAATGTCAAATTCAATTTCAACAACACTGTGATGTTAAATGCATGAGAAATATGTCAGATTCTGCACTATTTCTAGGTTAATTCAGCACAAGTGCTTCTGTCATTAAAGCGAAAGGGAATAAACCAAATACTACTTCTAATAAATTCATTATTTTTCACTTTCATTCAAATATATATATATGCTGCTAATATCATTTTTTTTTTATGTAAACATTTCATTCAATTTTAACTGCAAAACAGAAACCTATATGCCTGTGTTCTGAGATTTTGGACCCACTGTGCATATTTACAGTATGATGTGATTAGTTAATGTGTCTTGATAGACCAGGTTTACTCATTAATTGTGCTGATAGTTTTAAAGGAATGTTCCAGGTTAAATACAAGTCAAGGTTCTTAACAGCATCTGTTATTACCACAGAAAATCATTTCAGCTCATCCCTCAGTTTGTGCAAGCAGACAAAAATCATCTTTACAGTAATACACCTGCAAAGTCAAAGGACAGGAATAAATGCATAAATATATAGAATGCAATATGTGAAATAAGTGTCATAAAGTAACTTTTGCATCAGATTGCATCCTTTGCCAGCTGAGTCACTTCCTTGAAGTTGAATGTGAATGCTAACGGCTTACAGACTTACCTTGTCCTGAACCCTCCTAAATGTCGTTGCCTTACTATACATATGTTTTTATGAAGTTGTTCCAGATGAGTTGAAAGATAATTTCTTTTTGTGGTAATTAGCAGAGTGCAACAACCCTGAACATTCCTTTACAGGTCACAAGTGTTTATATATTTAAACCTCTAGAGAGAGCTAGAAAGAAAATTCTATCTGTATGTCTGGACAGTCTGAGAAATGTCTGGAATATATTGCACTTCTAGACCTTAAAAACAGTGTAGAATGTTATTGTGGAGCTAGAAAGAAAATTCTATCTGTATGTCTGGACAGTCTGAGAAATGTCTGGATTATATTGCACTTCTAGACCTTAAAAACAGTGTAGAATGTTATTGTACTTTATTTTATATTGTGTATATGTTTTTCATTTGACCAAGTAAAGGTATGAAAATTTATATTTGTTTTATTCCTACATCAGGACAAGTGGGATTTCAGCCGCTCAGTGTATGGATGTTTAGCTAATG